GGGGTAGTGACTGGGAGAGCAGGGATGGAGCCTGTGCCCAGTGGCTCCTTTGCCCCTTTCCCACCTGAGGGTTGGGGAGCACCCAGGGTGTGAGAACAGGATAGTGTGGGGGACATTCTGAACAGCCACTTGTGCCCCAGGCAGCAAATATCATGGTGGGCCACAGCTCTGACCCCTTGGGTGCTCCTGCCTCCAGTGCAGCCCTGAGAGCCCAGGGATGCCCAGCAGGATCAGCTGGCAGATCCCTCCTCCAGCTTCCAGGGTGAACATGCCCAGCCTGACTGCCACTGGCTGGAGAGGGGACATCCAAGTTGGGGATGTGCCTGCAGGAATGGGGACAGAGGTGGGATCTGCAGCAACAAACCCCCAGGGTGCACATGGGAGGAGAAAGAGGAGAAGGAGGAAGCGATGGGTTCCTTGGATCGTCTACGTCACATCCAGGCTCTTCTCTTCCAGCTGGGCCAGCTCCACTCCTTCTCCCACACAAAAACCTATGCCCCCAGGCAAAGGCAGTGCAGCCTGGGCAGGGCTGGGGGCGAAGCCAGGAACTGTCCCTGCAGCAGCAGGAAGAGGACCCAGGGACACTGACCCGTGGTCCTCAGTGCTGGAGGCTGCGGGGTCCAGGCAGATGTAATGGAGGTGTCAGCCAGGATCTTCTGGTGGTTCCTGAACTGCTTGTTCCAAGCTTTTCTCTCCTCTTCATTCCTTGGCTGTAGGGCCTTCCCACACAGGATGAGCCAACTCCTGCTCTCCTTGCAGACTTCAACTTTGCAACCCAAAGAAAATGGCCCCAAAAGTGCCTTTTCCACCTATAGGAATCCTGACCCCCATCCCTTCACCCCACCACTCCCATGGTGGCTTGGGTTGATGTAAAGGTGGGACCTTACATTACCCTGGGGTTGCTCCTCCTGATTTTAATGACCTCGGCCTCATTTTGCCTTGTTTTCCCTTTTTTTTTCTTGCTGACACCTCCTCCGAGCCCAGCCCTGGGTGGGTGATTATTGCTTGTGTGGAAGTGTCCCCGGGCACCAGCATTGGCAGATGCCATGTCTTACATCTGCTGCTGGGAAGCTTTCAAGGCACAGCTGTGCCCTGGGGGTGTCCATCTTTGCCAAGGGGCTGGGGCAGACCCCCAGCTTGGCACAGTCTCTCTCGGAGCTCTAGTCCTGCATCGCCCCGGAAGACTTTTCTCTTGGAAATTCATTTAAAAAAAAAAAGAAAAAAAAATCATTGGACCAAAAAACCCACCAACACCAAGAAAAGAGAAGAACCATAAACAACCACCAGGAAAGTTTGCTGAAGAGTCTCTTAAAAAAAAGGGAAAGGAGGAAAAACCAGGAAGGTTGTTTTTTTTTTTTTTCCCAGGCCCAAACGCTGCTGATCTTCTGGCTCGAGAAATGCATAGTTGGTAGCAAAAATGTTGGCTACATTGGGAGCCCCTGGAGCTGGGACGGCCCCTGAGCCATCGCACCCTGAGGGCTCACCACGGGGCTGGGACACTGGGGTCATCATTCCCTGACCCTGAGGTCCACGTGGTTCTGACCCTGCTGGCCTGTGGCACCTCTGGTGTGTCTCCAGCCACATCCCAGCACAGCAAGGTCCCACCGTCAGCCCCAGGACGTCACCGGTGCTCCCACACCCCTCCCGGCCCCGTCCCGCCGTGGCTCTGCTCGGGGCCGGGCAGCACACAACGGTTCTCCTCTGCGAGAGGCTCAGATCATCTTCATGTTGAACTTCCTGGCCCCTCCTTGGCCGGTGGTGGTGGTGGGACCGTCCACCTTGCGGAAGGAATACTCCACGGAGAAGTTGTTCTTGTGCTGCCCTCGGCCGCGGCTCCAGACGAAGAGGAGGAGGAAGCAGAAGAGCACCACGCCCAGGAAAGTGATGCAACCCATGGCCGTGGAGACCAGGATGGTCTTGAGGTCCAACGTAAACTTCAAGAAGACTTGGGTGTCGTTGTGGAAGGTGTCGTTGAACTCGCTGAGGTACAAAGTCCGGTTGGCGTGGTGGGAGCCATCAGCTGGGCGTCCCTTGACCGTCAGCGTGGCGAAGTAGGTGTCGTTGCCACCTGCGTTGCTGGCGATGCAGATGTAGGTACCGCTGTCCTGCACCTGGGCAAAGGCCCCCAGGCAGCACTGTCGCCCGCCCCGTGCTGCGAGTGGTGATCATGCGATGCTGGGGGGACACCCAAGCGATGGAAGGGTCTGGCTCCCCGTCCGCCCGGCAAAGGAAGGACACGGACTGCCCTTCCCGCGCCGTCACGTGCTGCAGCTTCCGATCCCGGATCTTGGGCTTCTGGCAGGTGAAGTACTCGAAGAGCACAGAGTCCGGGAAATCACGCAGGGCATCACCCTGGATTTCAGGTGGTGAGGAGCACACGGGCTGCTGCCCGTCAAAGTTGAGCGTCTTCCGTCGCTGCAGGATCCAGAGGAGGCGACAGTCGCAGGCCAGGGGGTTCCTGTCCACCCGCAGCGTCTCCAGCGTGTTGGAAGGTGCTCTCCTCCAGCGTGGAGAGGAAGTTGCTGGAGAGGTTGAGCAGTCGGATTTGTCTCAGGCCGGAGAAAGCTTGTGGCTCCACGGACACCAGGAGAGCCCCCACGATGTGGAGCTCCTGGAGCCGGATGAGGTCTTTAAAGGAGCCCTTCAGCACAGTGCTAATGGGGTTGTAGGACAGGTTGAGGTACCGGAGGTACACCAGGTTCCTCAAGGCAGCAGCGGGCACGGTTGTGATGTTGGTGTAGGTGATGGAGAGCGAGGTGAGGTTCAGGCCCTGGAAACTGGTGGGGGAAACCTCTTCCAGCAGTGGCCAGTTGTCAATCTCCAGATGCAGGAGGTTGTAAAGCTTCTTGAAGTTCTGGTCCTCCAGCGCAGAGATGCTGAGGTGCCGGAGCCGCAGCACCTCCAGGTTCTGGAGGTAGGAGAGTGACTCAGCTGAGATGGAGGTCAGGTTACACTTCTCAATGGTCAACTGCTCCAGGCCCAGCAGCCCCGAGAAGGCGCGTTGGGAGATGTACACTAGATCATTGTCACCCACGTCCAGGCTCTTCAGGTTTCGCAGGTCCTGGAACATGTAGTCCAGCAGGATGACAAGTTTGTTCTCACTGATGTCCAAAAGGGTGAGGTTGGTCAGCTTGGTGAAGACCCCCGGGGGGATGAGCTTGAGTTGGTTCCCCCGCAACCGCAAGGTCTGCAGGTTGAACAGGTTGCTGAAGGCTCCTGGCTCCACATTGGAGATGATGTTCTCACTGAAATCCAGCTCCTCCAGCAGAGGGTACGGGGACAGGTCCCCCGGGTTCAGGCAGCGGATGCGGTTCTTGTTGAGCTCCAGGATCTTGGTCTCGGTGGGGATGCCCTCGGGGATGGCGGTGAGCCGCTTGCGGTGACACACCACCGACTTGATCTGCGGGGCACACTCGCAGCGGGCAGGGCAGGCTGGCACCCGTGGGGGGCTCAGCAGGACCACGTGGAGGGCCAGGACCGGGAGCCAACATGTCATGGTGTAGAGCATGGTCTATGGGCTCACTACCATTCTCCCATGCACCTGGAAGGGAGAGAGAAGGAGATGCAGAGTCAACACCAAGCCCAGAGGAGACAAAGAACGTCACACCCAGCCCCAGATCACCTGTCTGCTCCCCAAACCATGGCCCACGGAGCTGGTAAGGTCCTAGCCCTCTCAGGAAACCCTCCAGATGCCTTTTGCAGCACCTAACGTGTGGCACAGTGATTGTGCCCCATGCAAACCTGGGGTAAACAAGCCTCACTGCTTGCATGCATTGTCAGGAGAACAGGGAAACTGAGGCAGAGGGAGGTTTGTGAGAGGAGCCAGGGCTGCAGACCCATAGCTCACCCACCCAGCTCTGGGCTCCTGATGGTGCACACACAGGCACAGGGGACCGTGAGCATCCCAGGATAAGAGGCTTGGGGGGCACAGATCCCCCCAGGCCAGTGTAGGAGCAAAGAGATGCTGACAGATGCTTTGCAAACTCATGACACAGTTGGGATGCTCCATCCTCTCTGCTCCTGGTCTCATCCAGCAGCACAAACCCTTCCCAGACCCCAGAGCATGGGATGCTTGGTGCTGCACGTAGGGAGCAGTGTCCCTGTGCCCATGCCCAGCGCTGCCCTCGGAGCAGAGATTAAAGCGACTGTGGGCACAATCTTCATCGCTGAGGGATTAACACCAGCCCCGCGGGCTGTGCCTTCCCTGCCCTCCTTTCCAGGGATTAGCACTTCGCCGCCGTTTTCCCTTTTCTTTGCTTCCCTTTCCCTGCTCCCTGTCCCCTTGCATGTCCCAAATCTGCCTGGGCTGCCTGGAAACGCACCTCACAGCACACTGCAAGCTCCTCAGCTGCCTTTCCTTAATGAAACATTCACCTAATTAACCTAATTAAGTGGCAGAGCTGCTCGGTCGGGGCGCTGCGGGGGGTTTCTGGGCCCAGGGAGGGAATATGGGCAATTTGGGGGGTACCAAGAGCAGAGCCACTCCAGCCACCCCTGCAGAGGGAGCAGGGCAGGTCACAGCCTGGAGGTGAAATGCACAAAGAGAAAATATTCCAAACTGCTGTGAACTGAAATGATTCAATATCTCCTGAGATTGGGTCCTCACCCCCTGTCTCCAAGAACGAGAACCAGGGCAGAGCATCCTCACTGGCACCACAGCAGGGGGAACAGCCTTGGGGGACTGGGAGGGTTACTGATCCTCCCTGTGCTCACCTCCCAGGGAAGGATGCAATCTCCATGGAGAATTTCCTGCCCTGATCCTATTATATCCAAGCAGAGCAATTCTCTGGCAACAATTGGAATTCTCAGTGCAATTTCAGAACTGCAGGAGATTATCTTTAACATGGATGTGGATGTGGCATGGAGGGACTAGTCGTGGCCTTGGCAGTGCTGGGGCAGCAGTTGGACTTGATGGTCTTTGAGGACTTTTCCAACATAAAGGATTCTATCCTATGATTCTAGAACTTATTTTTGGTGCATGTCACCCTGGCACTGGATTGGGGATGTGGCTGGAGCTGCTTGGCAGCCTCTGCCTTTGAGGATGCTTCTCCCCCCCAGCAAGGAGCCACTTTGTACTGGCTCTGCCTGGCTGGTGGCTTTGGGAACCCAAGCTGGCCCTGGAGTGAGGTGGAGGCAGCTTCACTTGGTACCCCTGGCTCTGGAGGCTCTGCTCTTGCTCTGCTGTGGGGCTGGATGGGAAGGATGCACCCAGGCATGACTGGCAAACCCACAGGAAAAAAACCCTCCCAATTTATGATGACATTTATTTGTTCTATTTAGTGTTTCTACACTAGATAAATAT